TCAAAAGCACATGTAGCATTATTGTAATGAAGAAATGAAATACGAACGTATTTGCCAGAGTACGACCTAGGGGTACTCGCAGTTGCACTTTAAAAGTGTATTATATACCCATGGGTCTCCAACAAAGCCAGGAATCCTGCACCCATAGGCGGATTTGAGCAGGTCATGCAACACTACTCTATTCTAGATCCGGAAATGTGCGCCACTTTTTACTTAGAAACTTAGAGATGAACCCCCCCAGCCTCCAACCCCAACCCCCCAAAAAAATCAAGAATAAGACATTAATTTATTAATTATCTTTAACTACATACAAGACGATAAATTTAAAATGTTAAGATGGAAATTTCTACATTATATTTTACCAACCATACAATTACATTTCTCTTGGAAAAAAACTAAATCTCATTTATGTAATATATGTCATGCCATTGAAGATTATGAGCATTAATTTTTGACATGCAAATTTCTGAAATCTACTACTCGATAAACTTAAATTAGGACTTTATATGGTATCACTTGGTCCAATTTTTATAAATACAAGATAAACGATAAAAATTATTACAGAGTAAAGCCTAAATTATTATTTTAATGACTAGACTCTTCTTTATATGTTTGGTCCTTTTTAAAATCCAGATAAGAGCTGAATTTCTTAATCACTTGCGTTTACTTATTTCGATAAACTTTTGTTATGGTACAATTTTTCACCAGACATGTCATGTTTTACTCTCTGTTATTATTTTTTTTTTAGAAAAGTGTGGTCAAGATCTTCCATTAATTGTCCCGATAAACCAACTTGCAAGCGTTTTAGATCCCAATGAATCTATATCCTACTAAAACAGGTTTCATTAGTGTATAAGGGTACATACACATAGTTACAACAGAAAAATGTTTAACGTTTAAGGAGGTAATTGGTTTAAACTCGGGTATAATGATGTGTTATAAAAGGTCTAAGCTTATTATTTTTTTAACATCATGATGATATTTATTCATTGAAACTTGCTTGTAAGAAATATCACCAAGAGTCCAAACTTCTAAGCTTAAAATTGCATTAGCTCAAGGAAGTTATATAGGTTTAATTCTCAGATTCCTTGCCGGCATGGTATAGTAAAACGCGTTTAATTCAAAGAGAACACAGTGTAGATACAAGTGCAGACAACATAAAACATGAAACTGGACACAACCATACAGAACGTTTTCCAGATATATTTGACCACATAATGTAGGGTTACTTTTTGAAAATTTCAATAACAATGAAAATATAAGTATTCGACGTATCTAGCTTGATGCTTCCGATCAGGATATTGGTGACAAACATTTTAACAATTCTTTGGGTACGCATTCGGAAGAAAATTTCAGAAAATTAACTATCTTTATCGTCTTGAAAATATTGTCCGTAGTAGCAAAAAAAGGTAGACGAATTCCTTTCGATCGCCATGGAATTTGGATAATCTAGAGATCAAATGATCGATCTAAAAAGAAAGGTAGCAAACTAGATCGTTTAGCCACTCAGTGTAAATAAACGACGAATTAACGTATTTTAATAGTATCATCTCTATATATTGTGCCTAGATAAAATAATATATAAGCTTTACTCAGCACTATTTGATTGGTTTTTATTCACAATAGCATCACCTAAACATTGAAGACATTTATTCCGAATATGTTGCTGAAGCAAACCTGCTCTCAACTATGATCCAAAGAAAAGAGGCATTTATAAACGGAATTAGATCCTAATTTCGTGTTCATAATTTTTAAATGCTTTATCAACTTAAGATTAATAATATAAATTTAGATTTCACCACTGCATAACGTGTGTTACAACATTGCTTAACTCAAGACTGTTAAATTTTAAATTTAAAAAGCAAGGCTTACCGAGCTTCTTATATATTTAAAAGTGAACTGTTTTCAGTGGAGAAATATCGGCACATGGAAGCTTCTGGGCCCATCTTGAATACTGATATTATTTTCAATATCAACTAATTCTGCATCTATTTTGGACACATGATGAAACAGCAACAATCAGATAATGTTTTCGTCGTTTGCAAAAACAACATGATGAATTCACACTCTGTATATGCAATGCAATGAGTTAAAAGAACTAATAATTGTCGTGCTCAAAACGTCTTATCGGTAATAAATTCATTTTTAAACACAAAGACATTTAAAAATAGTTTATCTGTAAAGATCTTTGAGTTTGACTGTCCCTCTAGTATCTTTCGCCCCTCTTTTAGGACTTCATCCATCTGTTCAGGCTAGGACTTCGCCAATCTGTACTTTTTAAAACCTGTGTAAGAATCTCCACAAGTGTTCCCTCTTTCTCCTGGTTGTTTTTGTTTCTGCTCGTACATTCACGAAAAACTATGAGAACAAACATTCTGACATTAAAACTCTAGAGGACGCAAGATTTGAAGAGAAAGTAAAGATACCAGTCTTAGAGTTGATATCATGTAAACAGGTACTCGAGACTGTTCAGTGCCGTTTATTTATAAACAAGGTTTCTTTTAGTTTTGTTCATCTACAAGTCTAAAGTTTACCCTTTATATTTAATTTGAAACCAACCATAGTTCGTATACATGGTATAGGAGCTAATTTTCAAAATCACTTGTATTCAAATGTACTAATCAAAGATACAAAGCTTACAATTTTGTACGCCAAACGGTTGTTTCGTCTACAAAAGACTCAACATTGTGTCGCTCGAATAAAAGTTCAAACATTTATGTACACTATTACTTTTCGATTTGATTAACACGTTGTGTGTCATGTGTACTGGGCAACGTAAATTGCATGTACTGATTGTATATAGGAGCCTTCTTTTCACTATCTATGTACATTGACTGCATCTTTTAATTTGTTGCCGTATGCCTGATATCTCGAATGACCCTTTGTCTGAATAGTAGTTTACTATACAGTATTGGTTTGTTCAATGTTGTACGGTGACTTACAGCTAATATCTCCGTTATTTTGACGTTGATGGATAGTTGTTTCATTGGCAATCGTACCACATCTCCTTATTTGTATACTGTACATTTAAATCTGTTCCTTGTACCATGGAATGGTGTACGTCTGTATTGATAGAAATGTATTTGTAATATTTGTCAAAAATAACACAATTATTAGAAGGAAGGAAATTAATACACCTAATTATTTTGATTACTTTATTTTGAAAGCAGTTATGATACATCTGTTTAAGCAAAAATAAATACAATGGCATAGAGCTTCATCAATCAACAACATGTTATTTAATAATATATCTTAACAACAAACACGCTAAAAAAAAAAAGGTAAACTGACACATAAAGATAACTGTTTGTGTTGATAAAGGTTATGGAAATTAGGTGTTTAAAGTTAGGTTGATACAATCGTTACCCGAGTGTTTTAATCATTAAAAACGTTTCCTATAACAAACATAACAAAGAAAATGATATCTTGCTACCATCAGCTACGTATGTGTTGTTACAAAAGTCTGCGTTGAATATTTGTGTTTTCTAAATCACAGTGTATTTTATAAAACTTCACTTCACACTGAGGTTATACAACGAGAGAATCATTCCAGTTTGTTAGATTTTGCAGTACTTCACAATTCTTTTAATTTCTTTTTCCGTGTGACTACAATTATTTATTTTCCTAAACACACAATTGATTACCAGTATATTATGTGATTGTATAAGTTATAAAGATTCGAGGTAAACAAATTAATTAGGGCAGAAAAAAAAAATATTTGAGTCAAATTTATCAAATTAGAGGAAAATCATATAGTTTCATTTACTCTCGTGGGTACCTTTCTTCGTCCAGTGAAAGCAAAATGTATTTTCATGAAAACTTGCCCTTTTAAATTTGAAAAAAAGGAAATTTGCATTCTTGGATTGAGTCCTGAAAGTATTGACGAACATCTACCAAGATAATCCATCAAAAAAGTAACCATCGAATAAGAATATATCCACGGTTCTTAAGGATTAATTGAATTCATTTTTGAAGCCTCACCATTTAAAAAAAGAGATGGTCAATATGACAGCAACCCCGACAAAAATACGAGATGAAAAAAAAACTAAAAAAACTAAAAGTTATCAAGAAGTGAATGTATTAACCATAATGCAAACAATGCATCGTCTAAGCATATTGTTATTCAAACAAAGTCCATCTAGTGACCAGCTATCAACATTATTAAAAAGACATTGACCTCAAGAAATAATTTCAGCTTCAATGCTAACATTGCTTATTTGGTATTAGTAAAGTTTCATGAGGCGGGCTAAATTTCATCGAAACTAGTTTTAGTATTTCACCCAATGCATATCCTTTTAATATTGGTCAAAAACGTAATGGTATGTACACATAAAAACATACGGAATGTCAATAAAACACAAACAAGAACACGTATTATAAAATGTACAACAAAAAATCAGCAAAATGATGAAAATTATTTATAGCATGAAGTAGAATACACATCTATCGAAGTATTATATCATATCAATAATCTTTTTCTTGAAACATAACGCATCTATCCCATCGAGCTTGAGATAAAGTATAAAGTATAAAACAGATAAAGTTAGGTCTGCCTCATATCTTGACCTACATACAGAAATTGACAATGAGGGTCTGTTGAAAACAAAACTTTACGACAAAAGAGATGATCTTAGCTTACAAATTGTGAACTTTCAATTTCTATGTTACAACATTCCAGCAGCGCCTGCATACGGAGTATATTTCTCTCAACTGATACGATATTCAAGGGCTTGCATTTCCTATATCATGATTTCCTTGATAGAGGGTTGCTGTTCATAAGGAAGCTTTTAAACTAATAGTTTTAATTGAAGTTGAAATCGTCCCGTCGTAATTTTTACGGACACCATCACGAGTTGGTTGTCCTTTATGGAATATCTGTTTCACAGATGGCAACCTATATGTTCCAATTTTCGAAACTACAATCTTGTCTCCTTTTCCACTAGTGTGACCTAGCGAATTAGACAAATCACGGGATTTGTACTAACATGAGCAACACGACATGTGGAGCAGGATCAGTTTTATGTTGTGTTTTTTGTAATGTTGTGTGTTTGTTTGTCTTTTTCCTTTTTAGCCATGGTGTTGTCAGTTGATATTCGACTTATAAGTTTGTATGTCCCTTTGGTATCTTTCGCCTCCCTTCTAATCATAAATCATGTGTACACATATATTTCAATCTGAAGATATATTTTTCTAAGCTTAACCACGACACGTTTGTCCATAAACTACCTACATATTTAACAAATGGGTTTGAAACCTGACAATTAGTATGTTGCTACTTGCAAAAGCGCAACGTTTCTACTGTGTTTAATGTGCACAAATTATCAATACACCTTGATTTTTGTTCTGATGATAGCTAACGCAATTACCTAACGCAATCAAAATACGTATTCCATTTAATCATTGAGATGATACCAGATGATAAGCAAAACATTATAAGCAACTCACAGCCATTTGTTATTTCAAGTGCATGTTTGCCATTCATAAAGAGGATTGGATGACGATAGGTCATTTGCAAAATTCTTTAATTTTACCTCATTACTGGTGAATTTCAAAAGCTTATTCAAACGACTGGTTCTCGTATCTATAAAATAACAATTCAAAGTCGAAATACAGCATATACTTATGACTCTGTTATCATAGATGAATAAAGAAATAATTCATGGCAGCCGTAGATTTGTTTTCTTTAACCAGGGGTTGAGTATTTATATTATATTATTTTATCTCGAGCGAAATCGAGGTGAGTTGATATCACCGTCTAGTTCATTTCATCTTGAATCCTTTTCAGAAAATTGCTCTAGAATGTCGAATACGTAGAATTTACGGTATGTCCGACCATGAAAAAAATCATATCAATAAAATATAAATATATATCTGAAATAAAAACTTTGCAATAAAAACATACGTATATACAAGATCAATATAGGTAATAAAAAAAAGTCATATTACATGTATTATGTAGTAAATGAAAAATAATCAAACACAAAACAAAAAAACTGCATCATGTTTTCAATACTTAGAAATTTTGATTTTACTCAGTTTTGTGTGATGTCCCAAGGATACTATAAAGGATATAATCATACCAATTATCGTATCTATTGTCAACTCATGTAGCCCTACTATACAGTACATAAATAGTCTTTGTCGTTTTCATTTAATCATGACAAGAAGTTTTATATCTACATCAAACTAAATGTTTGGTATCCGACAGGAGCAAGTTACAGCCCAACAGTACATTGCCAATACTGTGTCCGATGTTTTACAGGTTCTAAAGAATTTATTGATATCATTTGTGAAGCGACACCAATGAAAACAAAAACGACCGGTGTCTGGTGTCAACAAATTGTTGCACTACATTTCTCGGGTACTGAACAGCGGACCATAATACATGAATTAATAAATGGAGTTAAATGCAAAAGAAGTGGCTATTAAGATCTTACACATATTGAATAGTATTCCATGTTTTTAATGTTTACATGTTTACATGTTACCTATCTATTTTGACTATATATTGAGGTCTTTTGGATTAAACATTTAACGAGTTTTTTACTTTTCAAACTTTTGGGTTTTAGCGTAAAAGATAAGGTTCATTTAGGGGAAAAGTTTTGTTTATTTAAGAAGTATAGTATTTCATTTGTATGATATGCAAAATATCAGTTGAGTAAAACCATAGAACAAGTCAAAGGAACTTATTAAGGTTTCTTCTATCAATATGCAGCAATGTTGTTGACATTACTAGTCAATGTGGGCTAGATCTTCATAGCCAATCTTTTTCAAACTGTTTGGCATTTTACTCCATTTATTAATTAATTTTATTATCTTTCTTAATTTCAGATTTCTTACAGATCTTTCCAAAAACAATTAACGTCTTTGTGAACTCAATATTACTGTTAAACATATATACATTAAACAACATCAGGTACACCAGAGAGCAAGAAGAGTGTGTCTGGTCAGTTGAACAGAGTATTTTCAAGAACTCGAATGTCTTTTCCAATACTTTTGTACGCTTGAGCAATCTTCCGCATAGTGGGTCTAACATTCTTTGCTTTACAAATAAGCATCCATTCATCTATAATACCCTTGTTTAGTTTCACTAAATCTCGTTTCGTTTGCCTGTGATTGATGGTTTCCCATGTCTCGAGGTCCATTCCAAGTTCAACCAGAAAAAATAAGGATTTGTTTCCAATCAAAGGTGCCATTCTATCAATGTCTTCATCCGAAGGAACCAGATCCCATTTCTCTGGATCAGTATCTGAAATAACATGAAGTAACAATAGTGTCCTTATTATCTTTACTGTTTTGATGCTTCTTAATCATTGACTTTCAAATATTTGGTTTTGAACGTTCCTGATGAAGGTGAATCCAGAAAAGTGCTTTGGACACATATAATTGACAAAATGTTTGTAAATTTTTTTCTGCTTCTTTGCATGTTTTGCGAATCCATCATGTATGGACTACACACATTTCATAAAGGAATTAATGATCGAAACTTTGGCTGCTAATTAACTGTTGGAATTTGGAACCAAAGTTTACAGATCGTTCCCTAAACATGCTAAATATGCTTTCAAGCTAGTATCTTACCCTTCCGGAGCACATGAGATCACCCCCAGTTTTTGGTGGGGTTTGTGTTGCTTAGTCTTTGGTTATCTATGTTGTGTCATCTGTACTAGTATTTGTCTGTTTGTCTTTTTATTTTTGGCCATGGCGTTGTCAGTTTGTTTTCGATCAATTAGTTTGACTGTCTCTCTGGTATCTTTCGTCCCTCTTTTTTGAGCTCGTATATAATAACTGATTTCATATAGCCATTTTTATGTGTTGTTTTTTTGGGGGGGTTATATTTTCCATGCGCTCCCATTTGGTCATTTTAATATCGTCATAACAGTTTTTATATAATTTGATGTATTTCTTTTTTTACAGAATCAGTAATAGCTATTTTCCTTCTACGTTTGTTTATTTCCTCTTCCATCATGTTTTCCTCCTTCAAACTTGCACTGCGCAATTGCCAAGTGGTGTAAAGGTATAGATCATTACACACAGAAAGAGAGGAAAGAGAGGCAAAGGATACCAAAGGACAATCAACTTTTTTAAACTGGAAGAATCATATGATTTAGAGACCCCAAAAGAAATCCATAATCCCACACATATACACATAAAAGCTGTTGTAACCTTGATAAAATATCACAAGCTCATGGAGCACACGAAAAATAGTCAGATGATAGACCAATGTTAATGTGTTTTTCATATTTTTCGTTTGTAAACTAAACTTTGGTTAAACAGTTGTTTACATATTATGTGCATTAACATTTCATTATAGTGGTGTTGTCGTTAAGGTCACTGCATACGGAACAAAAAAACTATCATCGAAGTAGGAGGCAGGAAAAATAATTCGAAAGGAAAACTTTTCAAAGAATTGTGATAAAATGAAGGATTTTCACTACAAAAAAACTCACTGTACACTTGTTTTATAGCATTTCAAGAATACAAAACATATTCAACTTTTTTGGGGGTTAAATTGGAATCATATGACCTTAAGATCCCAAAAGAAATTCATAATCCCACACATATGCAAATGACACTAATGAAAACTGTGAACCCTTTGCAAACAGTCAAATCAATGCTTTGTAGAGGATGCATAGTAAACTTAGATAACCAATCTTGTGTTTTGCATAGTTTCCAAACGTGCATCTTATATTGAATTAATAGGAATTTGTTATTTTATGAAACCAATCTAATTGCTAGCTTTTGTTCGTGAAAAGAACCAAATACCACCAAGAAATGCAAGTTAAATGATGCGATGAATTATATGCAATATACCTATATATATAATAATTTTTCGTATAATTTTCTAGTGTAAAAAGAAACAAATTATTAATACTATGAATAGTTTATGTTCTTTTAGTTTATACATACACATTATCTATTCTATACAATAAACACAGACGATGTCATTGAAAAAATATGCTTACCAAAGTCCACAAATGCGCCTCTCATAACCTGTACAAAGCAGATGTAACTATGATTAATATTTTACAATGCAATTAAAACCAAATCAATTCATGGCAATCCTTTTTCTTAACACGTTGTTCTAGAGAACAATGTAAGACAACTATTTAACAATTTGATGTCATTTCGTCATTTTTTTACAACACTGAATAATGACACAAACAAGTCTGCTTCCTTGTATTTAGACCCAATGACATGTCCATAATAATATCGGGAATTTTCTAAATTCATAAAGTTAAACGTGAATATATCTATCTTTTGTTGCGACTACTGATCTATACAGATAGTCTATTTTTTTGCAATATTGTTCCGACTGTATTCTCAAAGAAGTGTTTGTTCGCCAACGAACTGACAAGACGCATTCAGCTAGTTACGTCGAATATTCATTATTTTCAGCTTCATTAAGGTTAAAAAAATGTTACCATGTAAAATGAGGTCAAATACTGCTGGAAAAAAATATTGGGTATGTTTTTATCTAGTGTAATGCTTTATGTGCTCATCACTTTGTTGTACACTATGTCCTTTACATAGAAACGCGTTATTCAATACGATGTTGACAGCTAAGATGAGAAATAAAACCTATATGACACTTCAACGAAAGGATGACATAAGCAGAGATCTTTTATAAAACACCACTTTTTCCTTGGATCCATAATTTAATCCAACTATTGCAACATGAATAAACACGACCTTAAATGTTTTGTTTTATAACTGCTAACTTCAAATAAATAGAAATGACACTTTATGTGACAAAAATATTCTTTTGTAATTCACAACGTAGAAGTGTTAATTCAAACAACTTTTTTGTTTGGAAATACATATAAGCAGTTCAACAACATCTTAAACAAGTAAAATATTAAAATGTGTTCAATGAAATACATTTACCTTGCATAAGGTATGCGGATTTTGTATCTTTCCTTCCTCTACGGCTTTTTTAATTTTTCTGAAAGTCAGTGTTGCTTGCTCGTGACAGAGACATAATGCTTTGAATTTCAGTAGTTGTGGTTCAGGTTCTACGATGAAGAGGTCATTCCATTCGGCGTATGGTAGTTCAAGATGTGTTACCAATTCGCGAATCTCATCTACATTGTAAAGGATTGACAGTCGACGCAGATGAAGTGCTGACAGGTTTTCACTTAGAAAATCTTCATTCGTAACTGTAGAAAAAGTATGAAATAATTTAGGGTCAACAGAGAGCTATTAATTGAGAATAGTATCCAGATTTGATATGATGTTAATTTTTATGTTGAATTATCGAAAGAATGTAATTGAAAATCCGAAGGTATGAACAAATACTCAAAAAAATGTATTTATTATTCATCTTCACTTTAGAAATGTTTGAGGCAGGTTCAGCCTAAGCCGATCTTTTGACGAGTGTTTACAACCACTGGAACGATGCCTCTTTTGCTGTATGTTTCGTTCCTTAGAGTATTACCAACCCGGAAGTCAGCACGTTTTTGCTAGCATGAAATATCATTGATATATTAATTTTTTTGTAAGTTAACTATTTTGTTAATGTTGAAATTATTCAAAACATTAAGGTTTGCAACCCCAATGCAGAGAAATCCTTATGCCTTATTTGAAAAAAAAAATTGTCGCAAGTATTGGGTTGCAATGTACCCTTACTGCAAAGATCATTTGTCTAGACTATAATTTTTCACTCAAGAAACGAGAAACACTTATGAACCACATACTTGTCTTCAATTGAAAATAGGTGATGAAAAAAGGAAATATAAGTGAAATGATGTTTTGTTCAGTTTTGGTTCAGTTTATCATGAATTTGATGTACACAATACCTAAACAAAGTTAAATAGTCCATATTTAAAAACGATAGTCCATTTGTTTAAACTTGTGTGATAAAATGGAATTTAACATATCATTTTTTTACTTAGTTTGGCATCGGAGAAATTGATATTATCATCCGATTCATACGAATAATTGATATAATTTCCAGTTTAAAGAAAAATATGGGAATTGGTCTTAGTACTCTGGAATAGTTTTATCAACAACAAACTGATTTTTGTTCAGTAGCAAGCAGTTATTGCTTTTCTTCAAACAAAGGTTTCTATTTAATTTTCAACATTTTTTTTGCCATATAACATTTTACAAACTTTTTTTCGATTCTTTCAGATTTTTTTAAAATCAAACAGTTTATACAAAAATTATGCTATAAGTATTAAGAATATCCCAAAACTTTTTTCTATAATTTTCAAGCTATTTTCAATTTTTCGGTCAGTGTGAGATAACATTTCTCATCTCTATTGAGAACTTTGTTATCGGCAAACGATTGGTCAACATTCAATTATGACGCCAAATTGTCTATCGTGACGTCATGCAAACAGGCGACCATACCTGATGACTTTACATGTAAAGAACACACATTCCTGTACATCTTTGAAAAGGAAACATAAACTTTGTTTAGATATCGTCTAAAAATCATTAGAGAAACAGATTCCACCACCACTACATTTCGTCACTCTCAACAGTTAAATTTAAATATTTATAAAGGTCGGCAAGCCTCGCGTTTTAAATTTTAAACTCAAACTGTCTTGAGTGCGGAAATATCGTAACACATTTGATGCAGTGGTGAAATATATATGTTTCTAAAATGCAATATACTCAGTATGTTAAAATTGTTTAGGTAGTATCAGAGTTTAGATTATGAACAAAGTTTTAATTATAAGTAATAAACAAATATAGAGAAAACAGTTTATTGCTTTGAGGAAGAAAAAAACAGAAATATGGTTTAATGATTCGATGCATAAATTAACAAAGTTTAGAATTGAACAAAATTTTAAATAAATAGATAAAATTAAAAACAAATGTAGGTGTGTTTTTCACTGCTTTAGATATAAAACTAACAAATTGATATTTCGTCAGTGTATTTCCGCTAGCATATTTGTATTGCTTAGTAATTATGAATACATAAAAGCAAAAGAAGAATTTTTATTCAACAAGTGTTAAAAACTTGTATTCAAACAATAGTCAAACGAATAGTTTTTGGCATATTAAAATGAACTTATGAAATTAATTCATCCCTTTGAAAAGTTTGCGGACGCCATCACGAATGTACTTACCATTATGACTATTTGTTTTATAGTTGACGATGGATATGTTACATTTTCGTAATCTCAAACCCATCCTCTCTTTCTCAAATGTGACCAACTGAACTAGATTTATCCACTTGTTTTTATTAACTCGAGCAACACGACAGGTGCTACAAGAAGGGCTGGATCTGCTTCCCCTTTCGGAGCAACTACAGTTGGCCCTGGGGTGAGATTCGGACACAAGAGTTGTTTGCAGTGTTGTTTCCATTCTTTGTACCCTAGTATTTATATTTCACTTATTGTGTACTTTATTAGAATATTGTATATTGTACGGTATGTTTAATCAACTACAAACACTGTTTTGCCGTTTGTTTAGGGTCTTTCCTTAAAGATTGTTCCTCTGAGTTCGATATTTTGTTATTTTACTTTTTATCGGCGTCTTTGTCAATATACTATCAACTACAAACACGTGTTTTGTCCTTGTCAAATTTGCTATTATGTACATCAACTTTTTTTTTGGGCAGATTTGCTAGATTTATTTGTATGTTTGTTTGAATTTGTGTTGCATTTCTGTGATATAGGTTTTCACAATTTTTGCTAATGGATTCCAATTATTGTCATATTAACCTTTTATGTCTGTTTGGGTTGCTTTCCCAATTGTGTCAAAGGAACTATAAACAATTATAATACACGTTGCAGATTTAGCTAGCTACGAAACTAGGTTTAAAGTCCCATTTTTCTTCTGAAAATGTCTGTACCAAGTCAGTTAAGTTGGTTGAGAACGTTTGATATTGTCAGTTATTTTAGACTGTTCCGCCTCATTTATACTGATTTCCTTTCAATAATCATGTATATTTTATCTTATAGAAGTTGTTAATTACGAGGTTATGTGTCAATGTAGAGTAGATGAATTCATAAAATATTAGTTCGAATCTCTGTTTGTCTCTTTTTTCATTTTTCACTGTGTATGTGAAGGAAATATGCAAGCCTGTTTGAACAATTAAACCTCAAAATATTCTTTATAATGCATACCGTTTAGCTGTGTGAATCTAAAGCGTTCCTCTACTCTGGAAATTGACTCAATGATACATTAGTATATGTTATATTATATTTATTGGAATCAGGGAAGGGAATAAGACAATCAAAGCAATAAAGTCCGCTATTTTTTGGAATTAGTTCTATTATTAGTTTCACACGTCTAGACAACTAGTTGCAATGCACTTTTGAGTGAATGCCTTCCTACCTGGACAGGTAATTTCACACTTCTTCGTCATTTCCTAAAAAAACAAATGTAATTCATATTTTGTATTGTAAAAAATAATGAAAAAGATTTGAAGAAAAAATCTAAATATTAAATATTCACCGAATATATCAGATAAGTCATCAAGCTTCAACTTTGAGTACATAACGTATTTCGTAACACATTATTGTACTTTATTGTTTCGGAAAGAGGTCAACTTACTCCGCCAAAAATGATTTGTGGGATGATATGCTTTTCACATTCGTCTTGATATCATATATCTATTTCCGACATTGTGTGAGAATGACGCTTTCCAATAGCTAAAATCAACATAAATATATAAAAGATCTGATGGACTGTTGCAATGCTCTTTGTTTGGGGTAAAATTAATGCTGTTAATGTAATAAATACCACTGGGTCGATACCTTTGCGGGTTGACTGTAAGTCAATAAGGGTAACTTCCGCCAGGGAGCGAGTACTTCGGTACTGGAAGGGAACATCTAATATTGTTTTATCAAATAGATTGCTCTTTGTTTTTAAGAATCATTTCAAGTTGCGAGATATATCACTGTCATGTAAAGCTCTGATTCAGCACATGAAAGTATGCAGAATGTTTAAAATATTATAGCCTCAGGCATTAATGAAGAAATATTATTTATGAGAATGCGCAACTGATGCAGTAAAGTTGGTCCCATTAATGAAAATCTCGTTTTTATAGGATGCCTGCTGCTAAAGTTTATTATAAATATAAATTCAGCATAAAACACATGAAATATTCCATTTTTATAACAGGATGATTTATTAGGCTAGACGCGAGATTCGTCTACATAAGATTCATTAGTGACACTCAAAGTAAAACAAGACCAAAGTAATGTATCCATTTATTATCTTTATTCGTTCTGTTTTACCGACAAATTGTATCATATTAATCATTCAATTATAAAAACAAGATTGGTTACTGGGTGAATCATTGACGGATAGCCAACCATTAGCGGCAATGACCCAATTGTACAAAAATTTAGGAAAACACATGAATGATACGATGTCCATCAACACACAATGCTTTCTGAGTAGTTTCCATTACGATTGCTTGAAAAGAAAAGCAAGCTGAACAAATAACAGTATGTATATGGTTTTAATTATTTAAAAAATGCCAATAAAGAAAGAAACTAATATAGGATAAAAAAAAGTTGGATTTGTATGAAGCATAAATGGATTTAAACCATATGTGTTGACAGGATGATTATGGTAAATAAATGCTATTTTGTTTCTATCGCCCGTTAGTGATTGCAAAATTACATAAAACACCAGGTTTCAGGGCTCAACACAATGTAAAACGATTCTAACATCAAACGCATTACTGTGGATTTACAATTTCGTTCAACACAATTTTTAGGATTTTGGTGGTATCGGGGATCCATGAATCTAAATTTCAATGATTATCTTTTTTCTACAAGCTTAAATATAAACTTTTGAAAAACCTAAAAATCAAATATCAACAAACATACATTTTTCCCACAATCTACAAAAATTGATACACATGAAACTTAACGAGTCAACAGTATATTGAACCAGTGGAATATATCACCAGGTACATGTTGTGTAAACGTTTTCTGTAATGGCTTGACCAAGTGAATCATGTTAGCGTGTCTTTCTCAATAATAAAAAAAAATTTTAAAAATGAGACAACAATCCAACTAGGTAAAACGACAAGGATGTGAAGAACTATTGGGCTTTCATGCTCTACAGTGTGCATTTTATTTGATATTAAAACTGTTTTCTGTCGAACGTCACTGATGTGTCCTATCAAGAATGTCTTTCATTTGCAAAAGAAAGAAATGTAGAACATTTTAAATTCTTGGTTTACTTACACCCACGAATTCCACGAAAATTGGAATCCAAGAATTCTACAGTAACATATGTATGTCATTAAAATATAAAGTTTAAAGACAGAATCAGAATGCACAAAGTTATATTTTGAAAACAAATGTGCTTATCAAATGTTAAAATACCTTTTCTGTTATCCAAGAGGACATCACAAATTTGTCATGGTCCAATTTGTGTCCGGGACATACCCAGATACTATCGATTTTGTTGAATTCTCCAATGGATAGCAGGCATGGATCTTTTGCAACACTACAGCATAAGTTCATTTCAAAAGTCCCTACGCTTAGTTCAGAGTTATCACTGCTGGTTTGGATATAAAGCTGACTTATGTTCTGCAGGGCTGATTTCAGACAATCGCAGATACTTGAAGCAAGGTCTTTCAATATCAAGACTTTCTTCTTAGCATGAACAAGACGGACAACAATTCGTTCATCTTCACAGAGAATATGAATTTCTAATAATGGATCAATTGTAAATACTGCAGATCTATGGAACAGCATGTCGTCCTTTCTATCGCCGTATTTCTTCACATCAAAAATACTGAGGCAGTAAGTGATGAACCTGAATGACAAAGCTGGTGGTATTGTAGCAGAATTGGAACTGAATGCTATGGCAATGTTTCTGTCAGTGAGGAATGGAGACTGGAGATATCCAGTTTCATCCTTAGCCTGGACCATGCTAGCAACAAAGTAAAACTCGGTTGGTATTCGATTGCGCTTGAGGTCATATCTCTTTGGTTCTACTAAAATATCAAGGTGTGTCATCACTGCCACTAAGTAGCCTTTGTGTTGTTCAAATCTCCGATATTTCCCATTTCTCCAAAGTTTCTCTATTGCACACTTGGAGATGACCCCTTTCTGGCTCATCAAATTCCACAAATGCTCTCTTTGTTTTTCTCCTTCACAGAATCTTTTATCGGTGATTATTGATTTGAAAGCATCAATAAGATATGTTGGCAGTAGTGTTATATGTGTATCCAATCCCGGTTCATCAAAGTATAGAATTTTGCCAATTGCATGCTGGAATTTCAGGAAAACCTTGAGTTCAGCATCTGATAATGGTCTTATAGGATGCTGAGTGTTTATCTTTCTCAAATCGTCAAATGTAATTACATTCATATTTTCTCGAATAAGATTCTCGAATTCTAATTCAAGGGGGATAAAGCATTTTGGAAAGTTCTGTCCCCATGTCGGTTGGAGCTTGGACTCTCGGATAATACCTCTTCTGATCTTTGCCATTTCTGGATCATTTTTGTTTCTAGCATTTACAAATATTTTGTCTTCAATAACCAAATGTGACATCAGTGGAGAGCAATGAAACATGCTCTTTACATCTCCGAATAGTTGTTCTCTCGTTTTTTCAACTTCACTCTAAAAGTGTGATACATTAAACATGTTTTAATTTCCTTTTGAGGTTAAATCTTAAAGTTTCATGAAAATATTTGAAAACAAAAAAATTCTTCATTCCTTACCCGGCTATAAGCTTTTGATTTTCAAATGTGTTGAACTCTAGCTCCACTGGAGAGACATGTATTGTCAAAATGCGCATTTGGTGCAGAAAAATTGGACCATTAATTCTATTACGTTGAAATGTTTATAATAATGTCAGTAAAAGGTATAAAACATGTATATTTTAAATATCAACAGAGTAGCAGTATTACTTCTTTGTAAGACATATCTTTACGTATCACTTAACCAAAAGACAATGACAATGAATATAATCTTACAAACGAAAACAACGAAATACATCAGTAAGATAACCCATATCTGGTGTTCATTTAGTGCACTGACTAAAGATGTGTATACTCACATAGTTCAGCTTGTCTTTATGAGTAAAAACAATCATAATCTTGGGAAATCCATGATGGCTCCCTTTGCAGTAGGTCACAATTGTATTTATCCAGAATCGCAGGTAATCTGTAATAAATGAAATATAAAATAATAAATGGAAAAGGTTTAAAACTATTTTGAAAGATAGATATTTTATTGTTTTGTGTTAAAATTAATCAGTTCAAATTATTTCGCAGCTCCCAATAATACACTTTTCCAATCATAATAACACATTATACATGTGGTCAACTACAAATGGCACTTCATGTGGAATAATCAGTACTTCAAGATCGAGAAACACCACGACAATATAGAATAATAATACCAACCACAACAACAAATCAAGCAATTATTTGTGCCAAAGAAAATTCAAGGGAAGGTAAATGTTTAGTCACACGAATCACACCAACATACAGTGTATTTCTTTGTCTTCTTTATTTACGATGCCTTCATTCTTAATTGTTCTCGTTCTTTGAAGATATGTTAAAGGTTACAGACAAAGATGGTATTTTCCGCCTTTCTTTTACTGAATGTACAACACGAAAATATCTGACAATTTACTTGAACTTTTAGCAGGAATTATCGTTCTCAGATGATGCAAACATCAAATTTCCAAAAAAAAAAAAGAGTAAAAGAGCAAAAATAACGAACTCCGAGAACAATTCAAAACGGAAAGTCCCTAATCAAATGGCAAAATCAAAAGCTCAAACACATCAAAACGAATGGACAACAACTGTCATATTCCTGACTTGGTACAGGCATTTTCGTATGAAGAAAATGGTGGATTAAACCTGGTTTTATAGCTAGCTAAACCTCTGACTTGTATGACAGTCAAAAAAAATTCCATTATGTTGACAACGATGTGTGAACAAAACAAACAGACATAACAAGTAAAAATGTTAAAATTAAGGGTACAACAATCAACATTGTGTTACTCACTATAAACACAAACAAATATGTAAACAAACATTCAAAACATGTTCAGTAGTTGTCGTTTGTTGATGTGGTTCATAAATGTTTCTCGTTTTATTTATAGATAAAACAGTTGGTATTCCCGTTTGAATGGTTTTACACTAGTTACTTTTGGGGCCGTTTATAGCTTGCTGTTCGGTGTGAGCCAAGGCTCCGTGTTGAAGACCGCACTTTGACCTATAATGTTTTACTTTTACATATTGTGACTTGGATGGAGAGTTGTCTCATTGGCACTCATACAACATCTTCTTATATCTATTTACCATGGCACAATAACATAATGACGGGATGTATAAGTACAGAGTCACGTCATATGTAACAAAGAAACACTAAAAGGCATATAGACAATGCATATTAGCAAACATGAAAGACAAGAATACAAAAATTATCATAGAACAATAACACAATGACGAATGTATAAGTACAGAGCCACGTCAAATGGATAACACCAAAAACAGACTAAACATTAAAAGTAATATTCATAAAGACAAATAAAAGAATACTATAACACCTTATTAGGATGATAAACAACATCAGTACCCAGAACCTATACTTCAAGACCATCGTGGATTATTTTTGGAAGTTGATACGGAATATTTATCAACAATGTCTTGGAACCTTCCGAAGAACTTTTTTAGAAAAAGGACCAGACGTTCTTTGACATACCCCTGGTTCATCAACTTTCTGTTCAGACACTGGTGACGTTTTACAAAGTCTAAGTATTTGCTGCATGCTTTTGAATACCGGAAAAGTTGGGAAATGAATATCCAAAATGCATGTGAAGTTGGTATATTGCCACTAATGTGGTACCATAGTCCAAATGATATGAAAGTAACAAACTAAAGATAAACGGACGGTCTTCAAAAATTATCAAAACCTATTTAGGATACTAAGCTATAACAGGCTGAATCATGGTCCTCGATGTATAGTTCTGTCATTGTCAATTATTCCACAGTATGTTATTTAGTACTGAGGCTTCCTTTATTTCGGTTGGTACCAATTTACGTTGATCAAAGAAACCTTGCAATTTCGTGGATATTAGATTTCTTAGTTTTGCTTTAGTCTGCATATAACCTTTTATTGCACCTTTGGTAAATGAGTATGAGTTCAGTAAATTTCATAGGGGGTCAATGACGTCTTGTCTACTATTAATGATGACGTCATATCTTAATGTCATTGTATTTCATTGTTTATGTTTATACAAAACTTGCCAAGAAAAGTGCTTTAAATTCGTTATACGGTTCACTACTGACTCCCTACGTATTTTACTTACCCCCTATTGATTTGTTGGGGGTCAGTAGCAAACCATGTAACTTATAATGGAACATTTGTTATTATTTGAACATTTAATTCGTGATTCATCTGTTCCCCCGAAACCAATAAAAATTGGTATTCAACAAAAAATTATGAATAAATAAATGTTAAATATGGTATGTTGATCTTAAGCTTTTATGTTTTTTTTTTTGTCGTTATCGTTTTTTTAAATCACAGACACAGTTGCTGAATCTTTTTGAAATCACGCTAACTTTATCAGTTGATTATTTATCAAGATTCAGACGGCAATTTAGCACATGTAAAATATTCTGATTTTGATAATTTTGATGTAAGTTTTCTACTACTGTTTATTTATCGACAGCGACGTTATTGTTACCCCTATGTGATTTTCCAAACAAAAATATCGTAGAATTTTAAGTGCAGTCACAACAGGCTCATGTTATAAAGCGGATATGAAAACACAAGTTCCTTTTTTGGTTGATACTATATTGGAATGACTTTCAAGACTTGCACGGTGATTAGCTCGTTTGGATATTATGATTATTTTCAATGTGTAGTAGCACACATATACAAGACGTACATGATGTATATATGAATTCTTCCTAGTTTTTGTATATTTACGACTGAATTATTCAATTACAATTTTGGTACTTTTTGAAAATTGACATACAAGAGAGGCGAAAAATACCAAAAGGACATTTAAATTCATTAGTCGAAAAAAAAAAAACTGACAACGCCATGGCTAAAAAGGAAAAAAAAAAACAACAGACAAACAACACTTCACACATCACAACATAGAAAACTAAAGACTATTATACCTCTTGCAGTTTTCGGTCCACTTTTCCCTGGTAAATATTGCTCAAATTGACATGGGTCATCAAGGGTCCTACTACCATCCAGCACAATCAAATAGATAGCTCTGTAGGACAAGAAACTTTGGTGTGTAGAGTAAAAGATATCTTGACCTCCAAAGTCCCATATAATAACTGGAGCTATATTTCTTTGATGTAGCTTTTTCTTTCCTACTTTTAAAGATTGCTTTAAAATCTGTTTTTCTGTAATTGATACCTTTATCTCTTTCACTTCTTTGGAAACCCGAAAGAATTTTTTAAGCTGTGTAATTAATCCTGGATTAGTTACAGATTCTACAGAATGTATTGATCCAGATGTTGGTTGCTCTACTTCAGATGATTTAGTCAAGGTTTTCATTTGCTCGTGAACGAGGGAAGCGTGCCTAGACGAATCAATAGCAAAACTGCTATACTTTGTATCATCTATAACCAGAGACGATCCTTGATTTGGCTTATACTCCTGTGATTCGACTTTTTTTGCAGCTTTACCATTAGTGTCGTGAACTAGCATCGGTAAATCATTAACAACATCTTCTAATTCTTTGCATTTGGTGTTTTTATTGGAATCAATTAGTTGATCACTGAAACTCAATAGATTACTTGCAATTGCCTTGCTGTTTTTGGTATCTCTGTGTTGGCTATCTACATCACTCAAAATATTTCGAATTGGTACGTAGTTTTGCAATTCCTCGTTTTGATTTTCTTTAGTTAAAAGGATATGTGGCATTGATCTGTTATCTGTGTAACCTCCTTTTTGTTCATTCAAAATGAAAGGTTC